CAACATCCAAAAAGTCTATAGAAATATAGAAGTGATTAGGAGCAATGGGGATGCACCTTGATGTGTAATGGTTGGACAAATGTGAAATGAAGATCACCCACTAATTTTCTTGCTAATTGTCCAAGTGAAACTACTTTTTAAAAATCTATTGATACTAGTGATGTGATAATGGATGGGAAAAAATGTTTGAATTGTTGGACAACATTGTCAAATAAATTGGGGAGGAGCAAACAATCCAAGTTGCCACAAACGAAGCTTGTAATCTTGTGGTAGTTGGACAAATGTTAATGGAGAAGAGAACCAAATTATTTTGTTCCTTATGTGGAAGCTATTGCCTTGATTTAGTCTTTAATGACATTGGAGAGCTTCCAGTATTCTATAATATCATTGCCAATGCAAAGAAAACTACTACATATATAAGCATACATGGGTCCCTAATTTGTATAAACAATATTCCAAGGGAAGGGAATTGGCAAGACCGACTTTAACAAGGTTTGTAACTTCTTATCTTACACTAAATTGCATTAAACAACAAAAAATGCTCTTAGATCTATGTTTGCATCGGAGGAATAGGCTACTTGTCCACATGCTAGTGAAAGTGAGGTTAAGCAAGTTATGAACCTAGATTTGATTGATGATAGATTTTGAAGATCAATAACATATTGCCTAAAGTGTGTGATTCTAGTGTTAAGGCTTGTAGATGGTGATTTGAAACCAACCATACCATACATTTATGAAGTAATGGATAGGGCTAAAGAGGAAATTACTAAAAATCCTTAAATGTAAGAGTCAATGTATAAAATAATGTTGAAGATTATTAACACTAGATGGGATTTGCAACTTCATAGACCTCTCTTCATGCAGCCTCCTATCATCTCAATCCTAGGTATAAAATTTAAAACTAATTGCCATTTTAAGTACTACTATCTTCTTTGTGCGTAGTAGCTTATTTATTTCTAATTTAGTTAGGTATCATCATGACAAGAATTTCAATCTTGATAGTGAGGTGTTGATCGACTTATATAAAATCTTTCAAAGAATGATTCCATACACAAGAACGAGAGTTATAATGGATCAACAACTCAAAAAGTTCAAGGGAACTTAGGAGACTTTTGGAGTGGACATGACAATAGCTACTAGATATGAAAAAAAATCGAGTACCCCTTTAATTTTTACTTTATAATTATCATAAAGACAATAATTAATAATAACTAACTTTGAAAACTTACTACATTTTTTTATAGCTCTTAGGTGGTAGAGTTATAATGAAAGAGGTAAAAAGTTACAAAATGTGTCGATGAAAATTTTGAGTCTCACATGTAGTGCCACAAGATGTGAGAGGAATTTGAATACATTTGACCAAGTGCATACTAAAATCGATTAAAGCAACAAAGATTAAATGCACTTGAATATTTCTAATATAATCTCCAACTTGAGATAAGACAAAATAGTAAAGAAGAGAATGGTGCTACTTATGACCTCATATGTCTATTAGGTATTGAATCTGATGATGAATGGATCATTGAAAATGAGAATCCTTGCTTGCCTATTTATGCCTCATGGATGGATGTACATGAGTGTTTTGGTGTTGATGAGGGAGCTTCAAACAAGAAAAGAAGAAAGGTGCTTATTTATATTTAGAAGTTATTTTAGAACTTGAAAGTTGAAATTAGAAATAGACCTTATTATTTTCTTTTGATTATATAGGTGCAAGAATGCCAAGACCTATAAGAATGGAAAATTAATAATAGGAGATGAAGATGAAATTGAAAATAATGAATAAGAAGAACTTTTGATTTTGGAAGATGAAGATGACTTGAGTGATGTAGATCTTAGGATTAGGATGATGAATGATCTTAGATATGGGAATTTTGAATTTATTTTTTGAGGCTATATGACTGAAATTATGTTGCAACAAAATAAATATTTGCTTAGTTTATACAACAACACCGCCAATATTTTTTTGCGTGGCTATATTGTTGAATCAAAGTAACAAATAGTCATTTTGATATGCATTTATCCAGCAACAACAATGGTTCTTTTAGAGGCTTTGTTGTTAAACTGTGTAGTCACTTCTTTTGGCCTTGTGATGTTTGTATTGAAGCTTATATGCTACAACATATTTATGTATGATTTCATTTTTCATTTTCTTTATGTTAAAATGTGCCTGAAGTGCTTTTATGTCTTTTGTGTGTGTGTGTGTGTGTCTCTCTCTCTCTCTCTCTCTCTATATATATATATATATATATATATATATATATATATTTTATTGATCATGAATCTTATGATTCTAAAAATAGGCTTTCCAATACATTGTTTGTATATAAATTCAACTACCATAATTGAGCAATAACCATATTATTTGATCCATGTCTCGTTGGGACAAAGCTGAATTGATTAGAGCATACTAAAAAAAGGCATAAACTTCTTTAATTCAGTAGCAATAATCTTTGTAATGATTTTACATATGAAATTAAAAAGACTAATCAGCCAAAAATGACTTATGTTAATTAGAGCATCATAATGATAAATAACGACAAAAAAGTATGATTTGATTTTCCCCAATACACTAAGTATCATAAAAACACTTTTACTATATCATAAATTGACCTCCTTATAGTCTCCTAAGTTGTTTGGAAAAAAGGTAGGTCAAAGTCCATCTGATCCAAGAGCTAAGACCTATATTATAAACTACATATTAAATTTCAGCATCTGAGAATAGTAGTTGAACCCTAAAGACATCCTTAAAATTAAGATGGGAAGCCTTTCTTATAAACCCCAATTATCTGCAACACATTGTGTTGTATATAAGGTTTTGAAATGATCTTTACCAATATTTTTAATAGGCTCTTAATCAATAATAACCTTGCTATAAAAGCCTTCATTCTATTTCTTCTTCTTCTTCTTCTAACCAAAGTACTAGTATGGAAAATTTTGGTGTTTCTATCACCAAATTTGAACTAATCACATTTACCTTTTAACTTGTTGATATCATAATAACTCTTCTTGGTGAAGAATAAACCTATGACCACGCCTCAACTCCTTTTGTACCTTTTGACAACAATGATTCTCTTCCATAATTAGTTGGTCATTGATTCCTTCAAGTCTCGCTCAAATGTGTCTCTTCCTATTAAGATATTTTTATAGCAATTCTTATTCTAATTATCAGTAGAGGTATGGAACTAGCACAAAGCTTTACTCCACTCTTGATTTGATCCTTAGGCATCAGGACAATATCATGGAAGGTCTCGCAAAGCATTACTCATTATTATTATTATTATTTTTTAAGTAGAGAGACACAAAGTGTTTTTACCCTAATATTTATAAAAGAATTTAGTGACAATAGATTAACATCTACATATCACAAATTATTACATATAACTTTTAAGTAGTTTGTATAAAAGTGCATAAACTATTTTTTTTTAACAAAATGAAAAACTCTTACTCATTAATTTATTGATAAGAGTTGAAATATTTTTATTCTCTTTTAATAAATATAAAACTTTTATTTTCATAACACTTTTCTTCTTTTTTATTCTTTTAAAAGAATCATACCACTTCCCTAACAATATTAAAACTTTATTTTTACAATCTTACTTTTAACAATATTAAACCTTACTTTTGAGAAAATAAGGTGCACAATCATGTTGTTAAATTAGTGAAATGATTTCTTCAATAACTTTTTATAGAATATAAATTCTACCAATCCAAATGTTATATTTGATGATATTACACTCATAATCATGTATATCAAATTTACATTCTATAAAAAATTATTGAAGGTGTTATTTCACTAATTTGACACCATGATGTCAACAAATCCCCTCTCTCTCATGCATGCATGCAATTTTGAGTATTTTTGGATTTTCCTTCAAAATTTATGCTTGATCATTTTCCTTCAAATGATAGGAAACTCTATGCATGAAATTCTTAAAACATAATATGAATAAGTTTTCTTACCTTAACTTGAAGAATGAGTTATTTTTCTCAAAAACTCAATTATAATTAAGCTTAGAGGAAATCCAATTTAGAACAAGAACACCCCCAAAAATACTTATGACAAGGCTCAAGTGCCAAATCTTATTTTAAAATTTTCTTTTTTTTTCTTCTTCATCCAACTAAATGCAGTGTATTTGAGAATCAATTGAATTGAAATTAAAAAAAAAAAAAAAAAAAAAACCCTCACGAGCTTTTATTTTTTCTACATCGAAAAGTGTATTTTTTTCGTTGAACATATTTTTGAATCAGTATCCAAACATATACTTAACTTTTATAAAAAAAAAAAAAAAAAAATACACTCACGAGCTTTTATTTTTTCTACATCGAAAAGTGTATTTTTTTCGTTGAACATATTTTTGAATCAGTATCCAAACATATACTTAACTTTTATATTTGACCCTCTAAAGTCTTCAAAGGACATCATGTTCCTCCTTAGTTAGTCATCCTAGGCATGTATCACCACTAGAAGAACCCTAGTTTCGACTACTAAATAATATTCTCGCCATCTCACTTTATTTGTCTATAATATTAAAAATGTATTATTTACTCTTTTCAACAGTAATTTCACGAAAAAAATGCACTAGTACATCCGGGTGCAATTATACAATGTAATTAATCATTTATGGAATAAAGACATTTTTTGAAAAAGATAAGTTTATTTTATCACAAGAATTGGTAATTAATTTTTTTCTTAAAACTTTGAATAAACAACATAAAATGAGGCGAAAATGGTACTTCATACTAAAGTTTATACTCCAATACCAATAAAATTACTAAGCACAATTGAAGAATTAAAGAGATAAAAGAAAGAATATTTATTTATCAAATTTTCTTATTATTCATCGATAAGAAAGACATGCTCACAATCAGACCAAAAAATGAAAAATAAAATTAATATTTTATAAAAATTGTAAAATGTCTTATAAAAATATATATTTTTTTCTTTCTAAGTTGTGTCTCATGATAAGTATTAGATAGTAAAATTTCTTCGTTCTGTTGAGTATAGCCGATTACCCTTTGATTTTATTAAAAATCTTAAACCTAGAGCTAATTCCTGAGCTCAGCTGTTCCACATCCCAAAACTTGAGAGCACAAGACAAATTGAATTTATATAAGAAAACTACACAGCCAAACATTTTAATTAAAAAAAAAAAAAAAGATCAGCTTCACCTATGCTATAGCTTAACAAATTATAACAAATGCCTAACAACAAATTATAACAAAAACCTGAACATCTGTTATATTACAGCTGCTTCTATTAAGAATTCCAAGATAGCTTCCTTTGTAGGTAGTGCAGGAATTGCACCTCTCTCAGTTACAGTGATGGCACCGCACATATTAGCAAAATATAAAGCCTTTCGGAGAAGTTTCTCATTCTGTCAACCAAAACAAATGTATAAATTCCTATGCAAGAATGATGATGACATTATATAAGTTAATTGACCGATCATATTGTTCCAATTCAAGACCCCTATACATCAAACCAGGAAAAAGTAGATAGAGACTAAAAACAAAACCACTATAATTTTGCAAGAATGTAAAAGTGAGTGTAAAAAATAAGGATAAAATTTAGATACATTACTATAAATGTACTATTAGTACTATTTACCAATCAGAATTTGGAGTTTTATCTTTAATAATACACATTAACATTTAATGAAATCCTTTATTACATATATAACGGAGTCAAACTCCAACCCTGATCAGAGAATACCACCAGCAGAATCTATAGTATCACATGTAAGTTTTCTCCTAAAAACAAATACTGATATGTTACAAGGACAAAAAACCAAAATTGCTATATTTGTATGGATGTAAGACATGTTGACAATGGTAATGACCAAAACATGTGACGATGAACATTGCAAGGATCAAAAATAAAAAGAGACCAAAATAAAAAATCGCTATATTTGCAGAAACTTTACACAAACTTGAGCTATTTTTTTTAATGTGGCACGGTGCACCTAAACAATATGCCGCTGAATTGTGAATAAACATCTGGTTTAAGTACATCTTCCACCTTTTTAAAACTTCTACCTAGCACACTTTACCTAAAGAATATGACACTTAATTATAAACAGATGTGTGGTTTAAGGACATCTTCCACCAGAATACGAGTTTCAGTGTAAAACTATTGAATTTAAGTATAGAAATCCTGAATAGCAGTTAACAGGAAATAATAATCCGATTCCTTTTGAAACTATTGATTCTCGATAAATGTGATAAAAGTATCACCAATTTTCTTTAGTCCTTAGTAATTTCCTTCATCAATTGATTCCAAAAGTAAAAGGGTAAACAACTCTGTCCTTAGTTATACAGCTTCCAGAGCCAACATCAACCGAAATTTTTACATTGAGATACTGATGGAGCCGGGTCAATTTAATCTACAATCAGAACAAGTCAAAATTCAAAATTACCTGAAAAATAGTTTGGTCAGAAGCTATGCGGTATAAAATCCCACTAACAAATGCATCTCCAGCACCAGTTGTGTCTACAGGTTTAACTTTGACACCTGCAACCCTGCCCTTAAATTCCTGCATAGAAATTTGGCAATCTCAATTAGCCAAACAACGATTCATGAAGGGGCAAAAAGACATGGACGAGTCCCAAAAAGAAAACTTCATATAAGTTTTCACCAGAACCAGATACATTGGTACCATAATGGAATTAATTCAACCGATAATTTATTAGTGCAAGGGACATATGATATTTGTCCATGACTGTAGATACAAGTACACACGCCCACACAAAATAAAGATGAAAAGATAAATTGTGCTTCCAACGAGACATGTGACATCATAGTAGTTTTGGTAACCATACCTTGGTGTAATATCTGCAACCTTTTGACCCTTCAGTAACGATTAAAAGCTTGAGATTTGAATGAAAAAGTTTATTCAAAACAACATTATCATCATGAGGATCATCTCCACCAGTCAAAAATGTAATCTCATCCTCACTTATCTGTACATACACAGGAAGATACCATGTCAGCTCTAACAATTCTTATTTTCAAAACTAAACAGTGACATCAAAAAATAAAGTGAAAAATAGAGAGTAGATTTAAATGAATTAGCAAGTAGCATATATAAAGGAGACCATACAATATAAGAATATCTTGGTCGCATATGTTATACCTTTATGACATCAGCTTGATCCCATATATCCATGATGCCTTTTCGAGCAGCATCTTCTGAAGGCCATAGAGCCAATCTCAAATTTGGATCATAAGAGAGAATGCAACCAGATTTTTTGGCAATGCTCATAGCAGCAAGGTGAGCTGACTTGCATGGCTCATCAATCAAGCTGATGGAGCCATAATGAAATATTCTAGCCTGAAATCAATGTCATGAATGTCCGAACTTAGGTCTTTGAGGCAAACATTTCATAAAATACAAACAGATATCCAAAACACCTGTTTTAAGATATTTTTATCAAGTTCTGACTCTTGAAGGAGCATATCAGCACTTGGATTGCGGAAAAACAAGAACTCGCGTTCACCATCAGCTCTAAGGGTAACAAAAGCTAATGCAGTTCTTGCATTAGTGTCAAACCGCATGCCAGATGTTTCAACATTGTTCTGCTTCAAAATGTCAGCTAACATGTACCCAAATTCATCTGCTCCAACCTAATAAACAGACAGCAAAGACTTGAGATGTGATTTTTTCTATTCAAGTAGTTGAAGAAAGCAGTTTTCTCCTCTATTTTTTTTCTTCAAAGAACACATGTACAATTCAGAACTATTTCGTTTCACACATAGCATTTGACAAATATGTATAAATACTCAGATTTGGAAAAAAATCATCCAGGATGATTTGCAGATAGATAGTAACAAGAAAGTGAAGAAATCAGACATAAACCAACAAACATTGATTGAGAACTACACCTTGCCAATAAAAGCAGATGAACCTCCCAGTCTAGAGATACCGACAGCCACGTTGGCAGGAGCTCCGCCAGGAGCTTTCTTGAAAGCGGGTGCGTCAGCCAGTGACACTCCTCCCACAGTTGGAACAAAGTCTATTAACATTTCCCCAAAACAAACAACTAGTGAACTTGTTTCCTTGCCGTCTTCATTATTGATATCATTGGATTGTCCTGCACACAAGCATTAGCTCAGACCAACATGAACCATGGATTGTCATAAACTTTTCATCAGTAACAATGTGATTTCAGGGAAGAAAGTAAAAAATCGAACACTTCCAGATATGTCAGTAGGTAAGGAGGCCAAAACTATCGAAACCAATATTTTCATCTTCACAATAGGATGATTAATTATATCCCTTACATAAGTGTCATACTATAAAACATCCCATATGCTAATTAGTGAAAACTAGAAGAATCAACTAAGATGTGTTCTGCTATGTTATGTGCCCTTGCTCGTCCATTTCCAAAATTCACACAAACTAAAGATGATATTTTGAATTTGAATGACTTTCAAGTATCCATTTCTTCTCCCAATACATCCCTGGACTAAATCACACAGATCCCATGCATACATGACAAAAAATCAGCCACAATTTCTTGCAATATCAAAGATCACGACAAAATCGTGAGCCATAATTTCTTGCAATATCAAAGACATTTAAAACCTTGTATAATCCCAAATAAATAAAAATAAAAATCCAAATACATCAGCAGCAGAATAGAACACAATACAAATGCTAACATCAGCAGTGATTGCAGAAAGACCACAATACATCATCATGATTTTGTCCCTCTGCATGCAAATCACACCCCAGAGGACTCATCCTCTCATTCACTAAAAACATGCACACACACACACACATTGACAAAAGTTAACAGGTCCAATCAGCACAACAAACAGTATTCACACCGACACACTCAAAAAAGATCTCCATTTGATTCAGCAAAACAAATCCCAAAAAGAGCAAAACCCATCATTCATAACACCTCAAAGAATCAATCTTTATCATGAAATTCTAGCTCCAACCCAGATAAATAATGACAACAAATAAAAGGGAAAAAAAGAAAAATGTGGGCAGAGAAGAAAGGTGGCAAAACCTGAAGAGGTAGCGTGAGCCATTTAAGAATGATTTAGGAAGCAAGAAGAAAAGAGAGGCTATTAAGTATGTTGTTGTGTTATGATTATGAAGAGAGAAGAAAACGGAAGCAGTAGAAAGGTAGATGAAAAGAAGGAGAGAAATTGGTTGGTGTTTATAACAAGTGAGGTGACAAAAAGGAATTCAACAAGAATCAACAGCACCCAGATTTTAACTTTATACAATTCTTCTCCAAACCAGTTGCCAAAACCTTCACCATCAAAAACTATTCAACTCTTATTTTTCTTCTTTTGATGCAGTTCATGTAGACACAATTCATAAATTGTGAATTACAAATTTAGAACATAGGTCAAAAGTTACGAAAATCTTAAATTGTTATGAAAAAAAAATTAGTTCAAGTGTCTTAATAAGTTGAAATTATAGTTTTTGTTTTCAAATTTATTTGTACAAATTGTACGTTGACGTTAAATTTTGTACTTAGATAAATAAGTAATAATAATAATAATCATCATCATAATAATAACAATTCTACAATTTTAACTTTTTTTTTTATTAGACAAAAATTTTAACTCTATAAGATCTCATTTATATTAATTCTAATTTTTATTATTAAGTTGATTTTAATACTTTTATTTAAAAGCTTGCTTTGTGGTATTGTCTTAAATACTTAAGATTATTAAAATAATAATAACGGATATAGCAAAGGAGTTTCTTTTATATGAAAGTAAAAATAACAAATATTGAACATTAGATCTTATATCAAATACTTATGATTAAAATACACGCAAAATTCTTTAAAAGTTAGTTGTATAATATTAAAATCTTCATCATTTATAAATAATTGTATAGTCTAAATTTACTTAACTGATTCCTATATAAAAATGTCCGTATATTGTAATATTGTAAAAAGAAAAATTATATAAAGTGTTTTAGTATTATTTGTCCAAGTCTTACGATGTATTGGGTTTGAACTTTTAAGAACTTTTATTTGAGAGACATACATGAAAAGAAAAAAAAAAGTTGAGTAAGTAATGCAAAGACCAATAATGTAAAAGATTTTACTGTTGTTTATAATCATAAAGTATTATATATAATTTTGGCTTAAATATGTTTTTAGTCACTCAAATTTAAGATAAATTTATTTTTGGTCTCTTAAATTTAAAATTGTTATTTTTAGTCCTGTAATTTTTAAAAATTTTGTTTTAGTACTTTAGGTCACTAATAATATATTTGAAAGTGACTAATTAAGACAGTTATGCAATATCAACCAGATTTAATATGATATTTTTACTAATAGGGACACTAATAGGTAGATTTTATACAATAATATTTGATAAATTTTTTAACAAAATTTGAATATAAAGACTAAAATAAGATTTTTTTTAAATTACAGAAACTAAAAACAACAATTTTAAATTTAAGGGACAAAAACAAATTTATCCTAAATTTTAAGGACTAAAAACATATTTAAGTCTATAATTTTTTTTTTCATCTCATCTCATAATTTTCTCTGTTTCTGTGTTTCTTTCTCCTTATGGTAAAATTTATTATTCGTTGAGAAATTGAAGGACATCAAGTCATAACATTTATTTATTTATATGAGGTTACATTTAGTGGGGTTGTCTCTTTCAGAAAAGGCATAATGTTTATGTATGACAAATAGGATGTCCGTGATATATTATACTAGTATAGTATCAATTGACACCTCTCTCTTGTTTTCTTTTGTGAAAATTCTAGATAGCATTATATTAGTATCATTTTTTAACTTTATCAAAACACGTGAATATTCTAAGGTTTTTTTTTCTTCTCTTTTTTAATTAAATGTACTATTTTATTTTAATATCATTTAGCATTGTATTGAAATCATTATTGCAACATTATTTAAATATATATATAAGAATATTTAAATTAATATATACGATTAATAAAGATGTGAGACTTAAAGAAAACATCACACCATTAAAATCACATTTGTAATATTATGATTCTTCTCTTAAACTAGCTAAAATATAAATAGTTTCATTCTTATCATTTTTCTATCATGTATTCATGATTTTGAAAATTAGATTGAATTGATTGATTGAACCGATTTAATTAAGAATCAATTTTTAATTTGTTTAGTTACTCTCAAAACTGTTTGGCAACAAATTGATAAAAATTGATAAAATTGGTCAAACTAGTTTAATTAAAAACAAGTTTTACTTTTAAAACTTAATTTAAAGTATTTTAACAAAATACATATTTTAAAAAAATTATAAATTTGAATCACTTATTTTTAATACTTGTTTTATAAATATAATTTAATTATTTATGTTAATTTTTAATTTTTAATATTTATTTACAAAATATATTATATTAATTTGATACCAATGTAAACTTGTCATTCTTAATGAATATTGTTATATTTTATTGAAATTTAGACTTAAATATCATATTATATTTTGTTTTAACTTAAATATTATATCACATTAAATGTGAAAATTTATAGATAATATTTATTTTAATTTTTAGTGTTATAAAATTATGATATTAGATTTATTTAATATTATTTTTATATTGATAGTAATAATTATTATCATTTTATTAATATTGATTTGATTATGGTTCATTTTATTAATCAACAGTTTACTTATCACAACTAGGGTCATAATTGTTAGGTCGAATAGTTAAACATTGGAAAACACTTTATTAATGGGTAGTGAGTGAACTACATAAATGAGTTTGACACTACATCATAATCCAAAACCTTAAAGTATTAAGTAGATAAGTCATTCTCACTTATATACTACTTAATATGTCCAACTTTAACCAATGTGGGATTGATTTCACGCTTGAACTCCAACATTCTCCCTCAAGTGTGAATCTCTTCCACATGGTCACTCTCTCTCTTTAAGTAGAAATTTTTTTTTCGCGAGTATTTAATGGTGACCTACTTGCATTACCATTAACACACTTTAATGGAACATGTCCTACACACTCCATGAAGACTTCTAACACGTGGATGATCCTACTCTTGGTTCTTCTGCTAATTCCATTGCCCAATACAGATCACACTCTTGGATCCACTACCTAATAAGGATCACAATCTTGGATCCACTCCCAATTTTATTAGTCAATACTCTTCTAAGTCGGTTATCAATCTCTTGGTCGAACCATTGGCTCAAATACCATTATTCGATCGTGTAATGACCCAATAGGTTCTACACTTACTGTATTTCAGCTATTATGCAACAAAAAGAAATAATGAACACATCAACTAACCTAAGATTATCTTGCAATAAATATCTAATTTCATGTACACAATTATATATAAGGAGTGGAAAACCCATAATAGTTCATAATAGTTCTTGTACACATACACTATATACATAAAATATGTCATAATAAACAAGATAAACTAAGCGTCAATCAACATCTATGCAACAATTGTGTCGCATTAGAGTGACACCTCCCAAAATGGTCACCAACCGCATAACCATCCAACAGTTATATAAGCCAACTTGCTAATACAGTCATGCTCCAATACCAAGTATGATCATTATAGTTTCAACCACAACAGATACCATTCTCTTATCATACTTTAACATACTTTGACATGTAAACAACTTAAACATCATCATATATCATCATTCAAATAAATAATTTATCATACTTTGACATGTAAACAACTTAGAACACCATCCTCTATTTCAACATATCATGCTTGATACCATTCTAAGTGTGTCTGATGTTATTGAGATAGAGAGGTTTCTGTCCCACCCATATTCGATGTCAATTCTCTTATGCTTGGCATGAATGAGGCAAAGAACCTTTGAGTCTTTCATGCTTGGCATGGCAAAACCGACACCCAACCTTAAATAGGTAGAGAGTTTCTACTTAACTCACACTTAACGTCACTCAACCTACACTGACATCAATTAGGCAATGATCCATTGGCTTGATCATCTTAGGCACCACATCTTTGGGGTTCAGCATCACCAAGTTAGAGAATTTGCGAGTTTTCATGCCTAACGCCACTCATTCCATACCTAGAGTGACTAGGTTAGAGGGCTTCTCACTAATCCATGTCCGATGCTACCAATCCCATGCATGCTCAACGCTACCAATCCCACGTCTGACATGATCAAGATAGAGAGCCCCTAACTTGAGTCACACCCAATGCAATAAAGGCATGCCTAGCACGATGCTCGTTTCTACACATAGTAAAACAACCAAATGGCTCAAAACTTGGAATCTAACCATCCAAAACAACATCCAACACCATATACAACATATATACACCATAAACAACACCAAACCAACTTAAAATACAACATGCATTCATCAAGGATCCAAAATCATCACACACAACTCATGAACAACTTCAAGAACAACCAAAAAAATCCAATCATTCATCAACTCATCTTTTCCAATAAAAAAATGAACATTTAGATGAAATCCAATAGAAAAATTAACATGAAATCCAACAAACATAACAAGACTTTCCTTACCTTTTGTTGATCCAAACCAAGAAGAGGAAGAAGAGAATGGAGAAGTGAGTGTAACACCCCGAATTTTTCTACTAATACAATGAATAATTTGAAGTTCTTACATTTTCCTTTTCAAGATAGCTTCGTTTAAGGGTAAGTATCAGATGAAACTTTCAGTGTAATAAGTTTGTCAAGCAAAGTTAGCGTCTTCATCTAAAAGTTGTAAACATTGGATGAAGTCTTTCACAAATATTTAATTAGTAAGGAAGATTTGCGTCTAAGTAAGTAAAAGGATGCAATCTTTTTATACTGGTTCACTCAACAAAGCTATGTCCAGTCTCCTTCAACTTGAAGGGTTCCACTAGTTATGAAATGAAGTATACAAGTATTGTTGACCACTTCTGGCCCATTGACTTCACTCATCAACGCTAGTATATTCTTCTTAGCCTCTTCAGGATAGTAGTGAGTATTATGAACCACCTAGGTTAGAACCACTCTTGTCTAAGTATTCTCGACCACTCCTGGCCTAAGTATTCTCGACCACTCCTGGCCCGCCAGCTTCACTCACTAGCGCTAGTATTCTTACACCACTTCTGGTTCAAGTATTCTCGACCACTTCTGGCCCACCAACTTCACTCACCAACGCTAGTATTCTTAAACCACTTATGGTTCTCTAAGTATTCTCGACCACTCCTAGCTTATTGGCTTTACTCACTAACACTAGTATTTTCTTACCAACCACTTCTAGCTAGTAGTGAGTATTCTTTGACAAGCCCCTTTGGGCTTTACAAGTATTCTTTTCCTAGCCTCTTCAGGCTT